TTTAGCAACAAACCAACCTTCCTTTAATAACTTCCCCTGAAAATGAGTTGGCAACACTGTCAGAATCAGTTCGAGTGAGTTTTGCTCAGAAAAGGTTTGATTTTCACCCTCAGATCAAAATGTCATTTGGATGGATTGAGCTGTTTTTCAGGCTGATTGATCGGTCAGTGCCTGGATTATTAAGCGTGTCTCTGCAGGAGCTGTGACGGTCCTGTTCTGTTCTTCTGTTTCAAGCCTTTGCAGTGACCTAAATAATGTCCCAGTTTAAAATGAGCTCTGTCTCAGGCGAGGAGGCAGTGACACACAAACGAGTCTTCATCCTATTAAAAACACCAGCCTGTGTTAACTGTGTGAGCTTTCTAATATTGCATTGTAACCGTATGTTTAATGCTGGATCTCCTTGCATCTTTGAAGACTTTTGCATTGCATTAACCACTGAAGCTGGCTCTACTCGGAAGAAAACTGATAGAAATGCAACAATTAAAACTGTAATGTTAGTATAACCTAATGCTTACTTGCTTTAAAACTAACTAAACGCACTTATTTTTGCTGTAGTTTTTAACTGGTGTGGGAGTGCAAAGCAATGCCCATCATTCAGGACACAGATGTTTGAGAGGCTGAGCTGTGCACAGTGAAGGAGTGGACCTAATTTATATATTGGAATATATCAGTTGAATATATCAAACCATCTTTATTTAAAAGTTGCAGCATGTCCTGAGTAAGTCGTTCTCTCAAATGGTGACAGATGCTTCATTTTTTGAGTGATCTTTCCTTTTACGTCTTAATTGTGGCTCTTATGGCTGCTGTTAGGATGTCCAGCACATGGAGTTATTTGTAGCAGTCTCTTCAGAGAGTCACTAGGGGACCGATCTGAATCATCTGTATGAGAGCGACTCTGGATTTCATTTCATAATATCTCACCTGCTTCTCACACATTCAGAGAAATTCACTTGCACTGACCTTTTCTGCTGAACATTATGCATGTTTTTTTTTTTTGTCAAAGGATAATTTTCTTGTCGTTCGTCAGATCCTCTGTTGAAGTGATTCGAGTGACATAAAGGATTTATTAGCATTCGCTCTGATCGTCGGTGGGGATCCTGCGGCTGATAAAGAGCATCTTCTCCTCTTCAGTGGCTCAGATCACACACAGAGAAAGAAGCATTGACGACTTTCAGGTTTGAAATGTTTTTTTAATGTTGCATTTAATGTTTTGAATGCCTCGTCAAAATTTTCAGCAAAGTAGCCTATGTTTAAAGGGGTTCTCTTGATACAAAAGGGGAAAACTTGATACAAATTTATTTTTTGACATTTTTCATACTTGGTTTATAATTTATGTCATTGTCACTAAAACTATGATAACACTTTTCCGAACACATTTAGCTTTTGTTTCACAGAAAAAAAATAAAATAATAATACACACTCCTTAAGGGGGCGTTTTCCTCCACTCTGCATACAATTGTATGTCATGTTTTTAAGATTTACAAGGAAAAGACACAAAGCAAAGCAATGCATGAGGAGACAGATGCAATAACAACAAACACATTTGTGCAGCTTAGAATAGGAGCACAAATGATCAAGACTAAGCACGTTTGGTGATGTAAGTTTTGTGGTTTATATGAGACCAGTGGGGTCATGAAACATACAGAACATGAAGATGAAAAAATGTACGCAAATGACCACTTTCACAGAATTTGCATTATATAATCATTATGGCAATAATTACAATTATTTCAGGCTACTCACATTCAATTACAAATGACATGAATCGCGTAAATCGTTTTTAATTCATAATGGTGAAATCCGTCGAGTAGTTGAGTTAAGAGGTCACTGGATATTATTCTTGTCAATCATTTAAGGTTTCTGTAGTAAAGCAGTTAGTGAATGTTTACAGCTATAATAACCTGAACTGCTGTCAGTTTCTGTGAACAGTGAAGCCCCGCCTTCTTTGTTTTGATTGGCGTCTGAGTCACCGACAAGCTGCAGGACTGCCGAAGCAGATCAACCTAAACATTTAACAACTTGTATTACAAGTGCAAAATTACAAAGTCATATTTCAATATTAATATAACCGACTGATTTTTATTTATTTATTTTTTTTTTTCGTTTTTAAGCCATGCTTTTAATGGCAATTTTTTTCTACATTGTAACTTTTAAAATATGGCAATATAGGTATGTTATCAATCAAATGAAATCCAAATACATAACATCTTTGCACTGCAGAAGCTGCATCTGACGTGAGATTCAGGTATTTTTACACACTGTGTAATGCAGCTCAGAGGTGGCATGAATGCATTTACACTGCAGTTACAATTGCATAAATAATCCCACTAGATTAATGTTTGAAAAAACAAGTGTTGACATATGAATTTATTTATTTATTTTTTTGTGAAATGAGACTTTAATAAGACACAACAGTTTTGCTATGGGTTAAAACAGAGCAAAAAGCGACATAATAGACAATATTGTGTCTAAATCAACAGAACATTTGCAATTGTGCATATATTCAGGGGAAAAAATACAGCACTCTTTCTCGTGTGATATTGTTATACCATATAATATAAATATAAGTCAAAACCCATACGGGACATTTCCCCCACAACTTGAATGCTGGGGGCATTTTATAATGCATTCATATTTTTATTTAGTTTTTGCAAAGTGAATGACATTGCACATCGGTAAAATAACAATTATAATATTAATACAGACAATACATATCACCAGTGTTGGGGGTGACGCATTACAAGTAATGTGAGTTACGTAATCAGATTAATTTTTTTAAGAAACTAGTAAAAAACTGTTTATCATCCTGTAGTTCTGAATCGGAGCTCGATATCAATCACTCTGTAATCAGGTAAAGTCCTGAACAGCCGTGTATTGCCAGAATACAAGAGTGTGGAGTGACAGCAGAGATGAATGGGCTACATGAGAAAAGAGTGCAGCAGATCTCCAATTAGAAACGCTTTATTTGGAAGCGCTCCACTGTGTCACGTCCTATATTCTTCACGTCCTTTAGCAGAAGCTGCACGGGTTGCCAGATCTGCGTAACAAAACCAGGCCTTTGGCCAATCAGAACTAGCCCAGATACCAAAACACAAAACATATCACTCCCATCACTAAAATATTGTAAACAGACTGCGTTTATGATTACTGATATACAGCGATTTTTGTATATGTGTGTGTAGACCTAATGCATTAACAGTGAATGTATAGTAATCATAAGCAGTCAGTTTTCATACATGAAATCAACTGATCTTGAGATTGACTGCTGGTGAACTGAATCTTCGGTGGGGGTGATTATATATTTGAACTATTTGAAAATGAACTATTTACAGTTTACAATCAAATAGTTGTATCTCGGCCAAATATTGTCCTATCCTAACAAACCATACATCAATGGAGAGATTATTTGTTTAACTTTCAGATGATGTATAAATCTAAATTTCAAAAAATTGACCCTTATGACTGGTTTTGTGCTCCAGGGTCCGAAATAAGAAGATATTCCTAAAACATTTTAATCGATGGAAAAGGCTTCTGTAGATGACATTTGTTTTTAATTTACTGGCAACAAGAAGAAGCACTCAATCACAAATGTTTTGGTTTTCAGCTGAAGTGAAGCTGAATATGCCGCGGAGCCCAGCGTCCAGCGAGGATGAGATGGCCCAGAGTGTTTCGGACCATTCTCAGGGATCCAGCTCGGAAAGTTTTAAAGAGGAGGCCATCTACGAGACGATCAGGACAGAACAGACTGTCAGCTGCATGACGGACGTCCAGAGCCACTCGCTGGTCATTAGGTGTGTGTGTGTGTGTGTGTGTGTGTGTGTGTGTGTTTACTGTGTGCTTGATTCATGACTGAAGCCTCTTAGACTCAACGAGTCACATGTGAGGCTCGATTGATCAAAGATTCCATAAGTAATCAAATTTCCATTAATATTTTGACATGTCAGTGTTTTCAACTGAAGCTGTGTGAACCCAGTGTGACAAGTAAAGATTTTGTGTGTAAGCGGTTGAAAAAAAACGGAAGCAGCTGCTGAGAAATGATCAGATGTAATGTGATTGTTTATGATTGACATACAATAGCTTATGCTTGATGTGTGAAGCAGTGTTGTACTGAACCGAAGCCTCACATGACTCTGTACTGTTGTCTCTATCACAGAAGGTCGTGAGGTTTGACCCCAGTGCCTCGGTGTGGGCCGCCAGACAGCGTCTGCTGTGTACTCTGAGTCAAAATCTGAAGGATGTGCTAAACTACGGCCTCTTCCAGCCGGCCACCGACGACAGAAACGGCCAATTCTTGGATGAAGAGCATCTCGTCACAGAATATCCACAGCTGGCCTGTGAGGGCATCCCGTCTCTGGAGGTACAGGGCTTCGGAAAGTAGGGCTGAGTAAAAAATATCGATATCTCGATATTAATCGATTTGCATTTTTACAGAACGATATCGATTCTTAAATCTGCATGAAACTTACGAAGCTACACATCTGTGAGGATCGTGTCGACATCTGTGCACCTGCGTTTGGGCTCATTTCGATCACAATCGTCTGATTAAAGTGAAGTAATGATATGCAATTTACATAAATAAGCAAAAACACTTATTCAAGTAAACAGTAAAAAACTGTAAACAGACGTGTTTTGCTGTGTGACCGTATCTGCTAGTATCTGATGATGTGTATCTAATAGCTTTAAGAATTCAGTCTAACGGCTTCTGACAGAAGGATTTTGGCATCTTTCTTTATTTTCCTTCATATTTTCTCTCTCCAGGCCAACTTGAGGAGGTTTATAGATTGCATCCAACATCATCAGCTAGAGAAACTCTCCAAAATGCTGGACCGAGGCCTGGACCCCAATTACCATGACATGGACACTGGAGGTATGTGTTCTTATGTGTTTTCAGTGCCTATTTTGTCCACGGTCCTATTTATTTGTTTTTCTGCTTTTCAGAATGTTCAATCGCTTTATTTCATCATGTGTGTGTCTGTGTGTGTGTGTGTGTGTGTGTGTGTTATAGAGACGCCGCTCACGATTGCGGCGCAGCTGGAGAATACGGTGGAGTTTATTAAAGCGCTGAGACACGGAGGAGCTCATCTGGACTTCAGGGCTAAAGATGGCATGACTGCGCTCCACAAAGCAGCTTGCTCTAAAAACCAGGCCACGCTCAAGGTACTCAACTCAACTGAGTTTCAGTACATTAAAATCAGGGATATAACACGGCAATGGTGCAGCGGCTGCTATAATTACAGCATAAACAGAACATAAAGCACCACTGACTTTACCAGTTCAACCATTACAACAACTGTACAACACTATTTAAGTTATACTTATCACCTGTATGAGTAGAGTTAATCAGTTTACTCTTTTCATGCCTTATCCATCCTGAGACACTAATGGGATGATAATGGGACACCAAAAGGAACTCTATTCAGTTACTTTAACTCTACTGAATTGCAAAGTGGCAAATGAATGGGAAAGAAGAATGATAGCGATGCCTTAGTTGTGTCACTTCAGCATCATGTTGCGTTGGTGTTTCTTGTGAATGGTCGTGCTCTTCAGACGCTGCTGGAGCTCGGGGCTTCGCCCAACTATAAAGACAGTCGTGGTTTGACGGCGCTGTATCACACGGCTGTGGTTGGTGGAGACACAGACTGCTGCGAGCTGCTGCTGAACCAGAACGCCTCCGTCTGCTGCCAGGACGAGAACGGCTGGCACGAGATCCACCAGGTCAGCTTCACACGCCGCTTTACTAAAGATAGAAGGCTCCCAGGAGTATCAAGTATTTGAGGAATCATACCTCATTACTCTACTCAAAATGTACTTAAAACAGTTTGTTTCAGCTGCTTACACACATTTTCAAAACTTTGCCTCTTTTTTACACACAAATCCAAGAACTGCAAACACAAAATGCAAAATGCATCACATCTCTTGCAGAATGAAGCACTGCGTTCAAAATATTACGAACACATCTCAAACACATTTGCCATAATATTATATTTCTGAATATATCATATTCACACAGTTATTCAAAACCTAAATCTCTTCTTTTATGAGCTCCTGAGTACATTTCTGTACAAGATTGAAAGTAATTAGCAGAGAGATGGTGAAAAATTCACGGTAAACACGAAAACAAGATTGATATATTCTGGTTTAAATACAGCTGAAGTTCTGCGGATGGCATCTGTGCGCTGTGCTGTGATTGATCACTACAACATACAATGCATTTACAAGCAGAAATGTGAAGTTTTATTGTATATTGTTTATGATTTTTTATATGGTGCTATTTTTGTAGGATGAAGGATTCTAAATGTCTAATTACTGTGGAAGTTTTTTTTTTAAGTTTACAATGCTTTATGAATAGTTCAGCCCCAACCCATCACTTGAATAAAATAGAAAAAGAACATTAAAACCAGAAAAAGCAAAGTAAAGCTCCTACTAAAAGTATTAGACAAAACGTTCTGCTTACATAAGCTGGGCATAAAATGGAAAAGCTCACAGAAGAACTGCTCTGCTGAGCAGAACTGTGTGCGTGTTCAATAAAAATGTAACACAATGTTATAGTTTTTTTTCAAAATGCTTACACACAGTTTTTGAAACTATGGCTCCATTTCTCAAAACTATACACACAAAACCACAAAACACACACACAACATACAAAACAAGCAAACACTTCTTTCAAAACTATTTTAACTCTTCTAAAAATGGTATTTCTGCATAGTAACTATATATAAATAATAGTTATTTATTTAGCATAATAAAATAATTAGCCACATACACGTCAAACTACACACAGATGTGAAATATGTAAAACACTGCTCTCGTGAGTCTTTTGCTTGTTCAGAGTGCACTCGCACACACTGTACATGCATATGCACATATACACTGAATATATACCATGTACAGCTGATGAATTTGACACAGTTATGCAACTGAACTTGAATCAATCTTGAACTGACTGAAACTACTGACTTATTAGAGCTGCTTTACAGCAGAATGTGAATTTGATACTATTGTATAAAGTGCTTTAGAAATAAAGTTGACTTTCTGACTTTGCTTATATGCATATTCAGTATACTGTATATATATATATACACACACACACATATTTATTATGTGACACATACATGTGTTTGTGTGTGTGTGTATATATGTATGCACTGTAAATATACACACACACACACACATATACACACACATAGTACATACAGTGTGTATATATATATATATATGTATGTATATACATATATACTGGAAACAGAAATGCATGGGGGTAAAAATAATTTCTTTCTCAAAACTTCTGTTCTGAGTGTTCTAAGTGAACAGATGGTGTCTAAGTGTTTTCACACATGATCACTGTGTGTAGGTCATCAGTAAATGAGTGTGGCATTAAAATAGCAGTGTTTCCCAAATTAAACAAAAGAGCTGTTAGTTTGGAATGATGCGTGTAATGTAGAGAACTTTAGAGTTTTGTAAAAAGTTTGTTTTACAATATCAGACAGAGTTTAAAGCATGTCATGTGCTTGTAGTTTTGCAGACTTGGTCTAAAGATTAGGTACATGAGGGAATGGTTTCAAGTGCGCCTCCAGTACCACTTTTAGTGTCTAAGCGATTTGAAAAAACTGTGATATAATTTTTCTGATGCAAAATCAACTTTGATGTTTTTGTTTATAGAAAGTCTTTCTCTCGTTCTGCATGTTCTGTGTCTTGTGAATAATGTATGTGGGTTACTTTTTAACTTTGGGGGCAAATTTTTGTGTACGTGTGTGCCCGTGTGTGTGTGTGTGTGCGTGTGTGTGCGTGTGCCCGCGTGTGTGTGTGTGTGTGTGTGTGTGTGTGTCTGTGTGTTTCTCACAGGCTTGTCGACACGGTCACGTCCAGCACCTGGAGCACTTGTTGTTTTTCGGAGCAGATATGAGCGCTCAGAACGCCTCGGGAAACACAGCGCTGCACATCTGTGCTCTCTACAACCAGGTGTGTGATCATCAGTCTTACAGTTACAGACAGCGTCGGTGTTTATACAGTATATGGTTAACTACTGAATTTGTTTCAGTGGGGCTTTTGTTGTGTGACTGTAAGTCAGGAAGAATGATGCACAAGCACAGATGCTCAATTTATGACCTTGTTTATTTCTAAATTACAGAGAGTGAAAGCTGTGAAAATGACCATGTACAATGACTTTTCTGTCATTTTTGATCTAGTTTATGCAATTTTATTTAAAAAAAATTGAATTGTTTTTTGTGGAATTGTGATGGAACAAATGCCTCTAGATGCACTTGAAGTCCGTAGAGCCTCGTCATCTGCCTTTAAACGCCAAAACTGATCACCACATTTGATTTTTGGCACATTCCCTCTGGACATTTTATTCCATACATGCAAAAGGTTTAATCGTTATTTGTATTTTTTATATATTTTGAATCTAATAATACAAATACTACTCTTTAAATTCTTCTCAAAAATGTACATTACATTTACATTACATTTAGACATTTAGCAGACACTTTTATCCAAAGCGACTTACAATTGAGGACAATGGAAGCAATCAAAATCAACAAAAGAGCAATGATACGCAAGTGCTATAACAAGTCTCAGTTAGCTTAACGCAGTACTCTTTTTTTATCATATAATAAATAAAAAGAAAACGGATAGAATAGAAAAAGAATAGAGCAAGCTAATGTTAGAGGCCTGTTTTGCTTTTGTTAATTGTATAATAATAAAAAGAAAACAAATAGATAGAATACAAAAGATTAGAGAAGCAATTGTGTTAGTTTTTTTTTTTTTGAGAAAACAAGCAGTTAGTAAATGAATGGAGTGCAAGTAATGGTCCGTCATCCAGCAAGAAATGTCTGTTAGACAAGCTGAGATGCGAGCAGCTATCCTCGGATCATAGGTGACGCAAATACTCCTGCGCTTTATTAAACACAGCTTTATTAGGAATAATACAGTCGGTTCCCAGCTGAATGATTAAAATATATGTTTCATATAAAGAAATGCTTCAGAGATTGACGGTGTGTTTGTGACTCCTGCAGGAGAAGTGCGCTCACGTGCTGCTGGTCAGAGGAGCCGACAAGGAGCTGAAGAACTGCAATAATCAGAGTCCATTCCAGGTAATGTCTTCATGAACGGTCCACGCACCCTTCTCTCGTGCATCTCAGCAAACTTTTAACTTTAAAAAATTTTACTTTAAAAAGTTCACTTGTGCATTGTTATTTATATCACTGAAACCTATGTTACATTAACCTTGCCATAAAATAAATATGATAAAGGTGGATCACTCTGCATGTGTTAGTCTTGGTTAGTATGGTAATATATCGATTAGTATGCTTTATATCAGTATCGTGACCACATTATTTAATATTGGTCACTAATACAATTGTTTGAAATGTGCATTTAATAATTAAACACACTATGTATTTCAGTAGGTTACACACTTGGCCATTCACTGATTTTTAGAAATACTGAATAGTTTTAGGAATTGAATGAACTATTCTTTCATGGCTATGGTTTTGTCAAGCGCTTGTTTGTGTGTGTGTGTGTGTGACACTGTGTGTGTGTGTGTGTGTGTGTGTGTGTGTGTGTGTGTCTGTGTGAGTGAGTGTGTGAGTGTGTGTGTGTGACACTGTGTGTGTGTGTGTGTGTGTGTGTGTGTCTGTGTG